CACACAGTCACACACATACACACACACACACACACACACACACACACACACACACACACACACACACACACACACACACACACACACACACACTCAAGCTGGCGTGTATGCACATAAATTTACCCACACGAGCACTGGCATAAACTCATCACCACCACAAACACCTGTGATGCTCGTGATACGGTACCAGTAGCGACTTAAACTCTCTGCGTAGATCTAAAAATGTTTTCAAATGCGTTTTAGAAGACTCACCTCCTTCAATGCCAAACATAATATTAACTTCCATTCAAGATAGATTGGTATTTTTCATCAACAGCAAGACATAAACAAACTTTAAATCTTAGTATACGGCTCACAGAATCACTCGGCAGTTTAAAGTTATAAAAAAATCTTCCAAACCTTAGAAATCCCATTTTATCTAGATTTATTATCAGACAGTATGTCAACTGTTTGGATCATTCATTTCCCGTCAATTTGGTGTTTATTTCATGTGAATAGGTTAAACTGGAGCAAAGTTAAGTCGAATTTTGTGATTCTAAAAACGTGGATGACACAATTGGTTGTGTACAGTGGAGGAATAGCCTTCCGTATACCAGGAGTTAAGACAATACCAATAACTCACTATGTTCAAAAATTTGCGAACGTCTGATTTCCCCATGTCGTGAGACTTTGTAATTAATAGGTTTTTGAAAGTGTAAGTTCTGCAGGCTAATAGAAATAATGATAATGATGGTGATAACTATAATAATGCGAATTTAATCACTACCATCATCATCACCATCATCACCATCACCATCACCATCACCATTATCCCCACCACTGCCACCACCACCACCAATACCTCCAACACACCACCACCACCAATACCTCCAACACACCACCACCACCAATACCTCCAACACACCACCACCACCACACCCACCACCATTACCACTACTACCACCACCATCACCCCCACCACTACTACAACTCCATCATCATTACATCTACGACTACCATCACCACCACCATTATCCACACCATCATCACCACCA